ATAAATCTTATTGGAATCCTGTGAGACGAAATATCAAATGATTTTCTCAGAGACACAACTAGCAAAAATTTCTTTTCTTCTTTCACTTTAAACTCGTTCTATGATTACTCATGTCAATAATTTTTTTATCATCTGAACGTACTTCAAAAAAAAATCAATTTAAAGACACGTCTTGTCAGTCATATTTAAAAAGGGACGGCTTCTTTTGATATCCCTTGAAATATCACGCACACACGCACTTTTTTCATAATTATTTTACCTGATTGAACTGTTTTTTTTTTCCTTCTATATGACCTGTAATGTTGGGTCTACTTTAACTATATTATGTTAAATATCACCAACATAATTCAATTTAACTTGACACAAAACCTATTTAAAAATTCATCAGTTTATTTCTGTACGTATGATAATGCTAAATACGTATTCGCTGATACATACAACAAAATAGTTTAAATTAATACGATACTAACTGTTCATCTCATCGATAGTTATTTTTTTATCCTAGCTCAGGTGCCTGTTATTGTAGACTATTTTTAAATTAAGACATTATTAGAATTATTTGTAATTTTGTGTGTACATCGAAGGCACTCCTTCGGGAACAATTTACAACCTTTCGTCTTCCTATCCAATTACAATGTATGTCTGACTGTAAGGCAAGAGTGGTTTTTGTTAAGCTACCTCAGTGCGTTTTACCATCATCGGCTACATCATCACTTCCCATGCCCGTTTTCTGCCTCAATTTCCCTCTGCCGTCTCTTACGACACCCACAGGATTATATGAGGAAGTGGATGTGGATATTCTTACACCAACACTACAAGATTTGGTTAAAGTTGTTTTGTTAAACAGTTCTTATACAAAATAATTCAGTTGTTTTACATTTTTTTTAATTTACTAAATTTAGGTTTTGTAATTTTAAGAAACATAAGGAATGAAGGCGGTCCTAGCAACAAATAAGTGATCTTAGGTGTTAATTATTTTTGACAAAAAAAATTCAAGATTAAGATTATTGAATTGTAATTATATTTGTCAAACTTGATTGTAATCTGTGGTTTAGGCGTAAACTATATTCATTAAATGTATTTGTTTTAAAGAAATCTACTATTATTTTTAAATTAGTTCCGAATAAAATTTCTGATTTAAATTTCCGGAACCATAGAAAAAACGTATTTACTTAGTAATAAAAGAATAATACTATTTTAGAAAATGTATGATATAAATGTAAAAAAGGCGCCAAGCTTCATAGCACTTGCCTAAGTCATAAGATCCATAGAAAGTTAAAACTTTCTTGAAACTGTAAACTTTTTAATCCTTTTTTTTAAATAAAATAAGGGTGACAAACGATCACACTGTCCTGATGGTTAGTGGATACGGTGGACTCCTTTACAATTTCAAATGCAAATGTGTTGTCACCCTAGAGACTGAATTGGAATATCTCGTTTCCAGTAAAAAGGTATCCGGTTTTCTACATTCACCATACGAAACACAGCAGCATTGAGCTGGTATTTTACACTGGTATTCCATGAGCGTGGCCCTACCCGTTCGAGCCAAACTATTCGTGCTACTACCGTAATATATAGCTGTACAAGTAAAGCTGCAGCATGGCTGTACGACGTTGTAACGTTCAGATCTCAACTCTTTTATCAGCTTACACTCTACTTGAGTTTCAAGCTTTGCTTTGCAGGTTTCCTAATATATTTTGTTTTATATCCATTCAAATAGCTCCGCAGCGCAGTGGCTTAGCAATGAGTTGAAGCGCTAAGGGCCGCGGGTTCGAATCCCGCACGAAACAAGTGTCTGTATGGCCTACAAATAATTGTTCCAGGTCTGGATATTTGTTCCTGTAAAATTTATGTATGTAAACTGCACCCACGATACAGGAGAAAGTTATAGTGTGGAGGTAACGTTTAAAAAAAACAAGCTCTCTGGTTCTGTACATTCACTACAGGAAACTCTGCAGCATTGAGCTGCTATTTTACGTTGATATTCTGTGAAATCATGGTCCTTACGCGGTCGGGCCGACTTATTCGTGCTAAAACCATAATAAAGCTGCAGCATGACTTTACCACGTATAAACATGTAAATATATCAATAGGTATGTGCAACGTTGTTAATACTGCTATGGAGTTTGGCCAGGCCACTGTCACTTTTGCAGCCTGCGTTAAATACAATCGCGCGGAACCTTAGGTTACTCAGTAAGGGCTAGCGCGGTTTAGGCGAGCGATGTACTTGTGAATTTCAAAGTTTTTAGCATCGTTTATTTAAAAAATTATTTGTAAATACTTGTATAAATATTTTTGTTTATTGTTTAGTATAAATAATCTACAATAATATATTTCATCCTATATTTAATATAAAATAGTTGTTTATATTTTAATTTAATTTATATGTATATTACGAGTATAGAAAATACATTCATTAACCATTTTGAAAACATAATAATGGTAAAACAGGCAAATAATTATCTAAAATCATTAACCAATATTAATTTTATCACTCCATGTCAATGTTTTCCCTTTCAGAATTTTCTTAAAATTATACGTTAGATTTTTTCCATTTTTAAATAACCGTTAGATGAGAGACGATAAAAAGTATAAGACATTATATTCAAGTGAAACAGTTGTAAATTAAATAAACAGGTAATCAAGACGTACTACATACGAACTGTACTTATTATTCTTTGTTGAAAGCCCTGGGTTACCACGAAATATTGTCGGTGACGTTGGAAGAGGAAAAGATCCGGACGATCGTAATTTATCTAATTAAAAATATTATCTTAATACCTAATAATACCTAATAATAAATTACGTGTCACGTAGTCATGGTAGCTCAGACGGTTAGCGCTCGCTGTAAATATCACAGTACGCGAGCAAACCGGGTTCGATCCCCGCCGGCACCAATGAAATTGTTAATTGCAAATTTAAGTGCTGATTTACCACGTGCTCGGCGGTGAAGGAAAATCACGTGGCGTGGCAAATCGTGAGGAAACCTACATGTTTGAGAAATAAGAAAGAAATATTTCGAAGACATGTTAAGTTCGCCAACACGCATTGGGGCAGCGCGGCGGACACTGCCTTGCCCTGAAACCCTCTCAGAACTGAAGGGAGGCCTGTGCTCAGCAGTGGGACGTATATAGGCTGTAACTTTACTTTTACTTTAGGTACGTGTCACGTTGCTTGTCCGCGATGGACTCCTAAACTACTAATTAACTAACTAACCGATTTTAATCAAATTTTCACACCGTCTGCGGTTTAGTCCAACTTGAGAGATAGGATAGTTTTTTGCCCATGAGTGACCCACATTTTTTTTCGAGTTTAAGGATTTTTAATAGGATATGACAAACGGTCGCCAGTAAGGCAAGCTAGTAATGTGTAAAAATCTATTGCCGTCCGATAGTCTCGGTAAAACTCGAAAACGGCTCGAACGATTTTTATGATACTTTTGTGTGTATTTGAGGTCAATTGGACCCGGTATTTTTTTTATTATGTGCGAGCAGCTATGCAGGTCTAGGTAAAGAGACCAGTATCACTGCGACCTAGAAGATCTATTGTGATCGCTGCTATGGCTATAGTTCACTGCTAAGCCCTATGTCTTCAATTAATCGAAGGAGTTGCTTAGCCGTGAGCAATTTCACTTCTTCTGGGCGGAGTAGATAGTGTCCCAGATGAGTGTTACGTTTGCGCATTAAGGGTCCGCAATCGGTTAGGATGTGTAGAGGCGTTTCTTCCGTTATGTAACAGAACCGACACATCCTTGAGTTGCTTAGTCCCAGGATGGACATGTGCTTTTTAAGACAACAGTGTCCAGTTAGGGCTCTTGTCAGAATGCTCAATTTATTTTTACTTAATCCCAGGGCTTCCGAAGCGAATTTACGATCAAAAGCCCGGATTAAGGTTTTAGAATGTTTTAAGCCTGGTGTATCAGACCAGATCTTAAGTGATTTATTGTGATAAAGAGTTTCAAGGGTCAATCGGGCTAGGCTTCTTGAGATTCCACAAAACGGCTCGGGTCCAAATTGTGTGCAGTTTGAGCCCTCCAGTGCAAGTTTGTCGGCAAATTCGTTGCCTACAATACCCTCGTGACCCGGAACCCATCTTAAAACGACCCTCTTTTTACAACCCAGGGCGTTTAAACGGTTCACGCAGTCTCCAACTAGCTTTGAGTTCACTAAGTTTGATCTCAGCGTTAGGAGTGCTGCTTGACTATCAGAGTTTATGTAAATTTTATGGTTGACGTAGTGTTTTTGCAGATTGATTTCCGCACACCGAAGTATGGCGAAAATTTCTGCCTGGAAAATAGAGGTGTATCTACCTAAATTCATACTAAGTTTGAATTTGGGGCGTCCCCCGTAAATCCTAAAGCCTACGTCGAGGCCCATTTTAGACCCATCGGTATACCATATGAGGCTACCGACCTCACAGATAACCTGGCCATTGTAGGTAGGCTATTAAAACGTCGGCAAGTGGTGAACATCAAAAGATTGCAACTTATGCACGTAGTACTTTTTGTGCTGTTATTTATTTGCCGCCGCGGATGTAGGTCTTTACTATTGACGTCGTCCTGCGCAAATATGTTAAGGTTGTAACAATAGTGGGAATGCAATAATTGTGATTATTATTATACTTATAGGTTAAAAACATTTATTCATCAAGATATTTTTCTATAACTACAAGAAAAATACATGGCTTTGCACTGCCAAAATATTATCGTGACACTTTTTTTAACAGTACGTCACCAATATAAATATATTTCAAGAAAATTCCACTTAAAATTATTGAATAAGTAATTTAAAACAGGCTCGCGTAAACTAAATGTATTGATACTGCAGACTTTTTTGAGTGCGCTGGCACATGGTCGCGGCGAAAACTTCCCAGCAAGTCCCCCGTCGTCACTCTGCACAAGTACATTCGTTTCGTAACCACCTATTATACTCTTTTTGGACTGTGCTGGTAGCATTTCGTAACATGTCTCGTTGGACGTTTCCAGATGCGGCGGTGACGCGATGTCGGCGGCGCCGGCGGTGAAGCGCGAGCTAGAGGCGGAGGGCGGCGCGCCCGCCAGCCCTGGCCGCAAGCGCCGCAAGCAGGCGGCGCCGGCGCGCGCGCACCCCGCGCCACCCGCGCTGCCCCTCGACCTGCACGCCAAGGTCGCCGACATCTACAAGAGCGCCCTCGCGTTCGGGGACCTCACCCTCCCCGCCTTCGACCCGCTCGCCGCCTTCCGACTGCTACCGCGCCATGATCCTCCACGGATATTCAACCCTGAGGCTTACTGTGATCTCTGCTGCAAGGAATTTTGCAACAAATATTTTCTGAAGACGCACCGCGCTAACAAGCACGGCATTTATGACGGCGAAGCCCAGCCCATGCCGCAGCCGTCACCTCCTCGGCGCGCTTCCGACGAGGAGTCGGGTGGTACTCCACGACGCCTTTCGCCCGACTCGGCGAGACGTGCACGTGATTCCGGTTTCCAGCCTGATGTATTAAGACGCTTAGGCGTTATAAATCCCGAGGCCTTCTGCGAGATTTGCTGTAAGGAGTACTGCAATAAGTATTTTCTGCGTACACACCGCGAGCGGCGCCACGGTGTACCGGTACAACGCTCGCCAACCGCTACACCCCCCGCCTTGCCTATGCCGCAACCGTCCGCGCCCCTAACTCCTTCTATTCATACACCGCCTTCTTTACCACAACCGCCGCATATCTCGCCATCACCTTACGACGCCGACATGCCCACGGAGGTGAAGCGCGAGTGTGAAGACGACTTAGAAGCTGCTTTGCGCGACGGCCAGACGAGTCCTCTCAACCTCATTGTGGAAGAGCGCGGCGCGACGTCACCAGGATCGGCAAGCGAGGAGTTGCGCAAGTTGCAAACAATGATCTCACAACTAAACGAGCTTGCGGCCGAACGCCTCGCCGAAGAACCGACAGAAGCAACACGACCCCCTTCTTCTTCACCACCGCCTCAAGACGAGCGGCGGGCTGCCGCTTCGGCTGCCGCCGGCTCAAGTTTCTGCGAGATTTGCAACAAGGAGCTTTGTAATAAATACTTTATGCGGACGCATATGCAGCGCATGCACGGCATTTCGCTCGAGAGCGGCACCCAACTTGGCGGTGTCACGTGTGATATATGCCACAAGGAGCTCTGCAGCAAGTACTTCCTGCGAGTCCACAAGCACAACACGCACGGTATCCCCGCACCACCGGCGCCTGCAAACGCTGCGCCGGCCGAACCGTGTCCTCTGTGCGCGAGACGATTTCGTGGACCGCGAGCGTTGCGAGCGCATTTGTTAGCTGAGCATGCACCTCCGGCACGACCACCTCCCCCACCACCGCGGCCTCTAGATTTACTAGTGCGGGATAAGCCGTACGCTTGCTCCTACTGTCCCTTCACGACTGACGTGCTTGCGTTCCTGTTCGCGCACGAGCGCGCGCACATGCACCGGCAAGAAGGTGGCGAGGAGGTGGAGGGTGAGGCGGAGGCGGAATCAGAGATGAGAGGGACAGAAGCTGAGGGTGAGGGCGAGGCTGAGGCGTACTCGTGCTCGCGCTGCGAGTTCCGCGCGGAAAGCTTCGAAGCGTTGGAGGGTCACGTGCGCGCGACACACGGAGGCGCGGGTGCACTACTCGCTGTCCCTCGGGCGCCACGGGCACCGCTGACTATGCAGCCCTTCGTGCTGGAGGAGGCGGGCGGTGCCCTAAGCCTACTACCGGCGCTCGTGTTCCTGCCGGTGCGTCGACGCGCTACTCGTCGTGCCACCGTCACGCTCACGTTGACGCCCGCCTAGGTGTCGGCTTTGGCGACCTCTACGTCGGCCTCCACGTAGGCCGAGGCGTCATCCGACGCTACACCGACGACGCGCGCACTCGCGGTCCGCGACTACACCGCCGCGAGCGCGCGCTACGATCGCCGAACTTTACTAACTACATTTAACGCTGTGTGCCTTCAAGCGATTGCTGAAAATAAGAGACGTGATCGTAGCCGAGGAGCTGTCCGCGGCCGCCCGCCCGAGCGCCACACCGCGCGGCGGCCCCCGGCCATTTTTTTTATTTTGACAGAGTCTAACTTCGTATATTGAGAATTATATTTAACGGGTGATATATGAAACGTTGCCGCTTATGTATTCGTTTGTTTACTATTATCTCCTCGACGTTGGGTCGGTCCGAGACGAGTTTTTGAAACGTCGATTTCGATCGGGAGAAGAAATACACCCTAGACGTAGTTATTATTATTTAAAGGATACGTATTTTACTGGTGAGTGCGTACTCACGATAGCGTCGTAGTACCGGTGCGATGTTGATCACTGAGAGCGGCTCGGTGGCCCGACACGACACCAGGGCAGCGTCGCCGTCGCCGGCGCGAGTGATTGCGGCGCGACGCAAAGTACACGGTGTCATGCGCCGCAAAGTGCGCAGTTTCATGCGACGCAACGTGAGATGTAACGCGACGCAACATGGCTTTGCGTCGCGCCGCAGCTTACCTCACCCACAGTACAAATTAGGTGCCACACAAGGACAACCGCTCTACCTCACGCTAGGTTTTATATATTAGCTGTTATTGTATGAATATATTTTGGAGTACAAAGCTAGCAGCGCCATTACGCCGCCGCGGACGGACGCCGCTCTTGTTATATAATAATAGTAATAATAATAATATTTATTGTTGTCTAGAACGACTAAAGCACAAAGATACGTACTATTGGGCAGTGATCAACATTAAACGTAATCATAGTATTAAATTTAATTAGATATGTGGTCGTGAGAGCTCGGCCGGACGGGTTTTGTTGTGTAACACATCAGTCATTACGGGTCATTGTTTTGGTGGGGTCGTGGGCCCAGCCCCGCCCCCCTTTATCGTTCGGCCGGGCTTTGCGTTTTATATTCATTTGTATTGTAATCTTTACAAAATAATATGTTACTGTGGATAATGTTATCTTTATACATCTATTATGTGGAAAAAGTTCCCGATACCAGATTTACAGATATTAGAAAATTTACAACTAATATTTACAATATATCATCTAAAAATAATTGTATAGCACAATCAGTACAATTTTTCCAAACACTCGTATTTTCGCGCTTGAATTATGTATCTCTAATAGTTCGAAATTTACCAATATTGTTTCGGGTATCACATAAAAGAGGGATAAAGCGTACTTTGTCCGACGTTCACAAGGTTCTTTTAAATGGTAACAGATTTATTTAATTAATTAATTATTCGGTAGATCATTGTGGAGGTTAGCTTGTATAAACCATGCAGCTTCTAAAAAAAGTTCCTATGTATGTACGTAAGTTGTAATTTAAAATAAAAACTAGAGGTCGCTTGTGAAACGGCTCGACAAGGCGAGACACGACCTGATTTTAATTATAAAGAATAAATATAATCAGGGTATAACTTCCGGTAATGTAACAGTGATTGTTACAGTAGAAAAAAATAATGTCATAGATGGATCTGACAAAGTTTCAGATATATGACTTGTGAATGCTTAAGAGATGTAATATAATGTTCCTCAATTCGTTCCTTGCCTAAATTTTAAGGTAGCTCTCCGTTCCTAATTTAAAATAGACGTAACAGACCATCTTCCGAATAGTCTTCCTGCATCTCACACACAAAAACTCCCATGCCGAGCCGTAGCGCAAGCGCGCGAAACAACAAATTATATTAATAATGTTTTAAATAATAACAAAATTATTAAAATTGTATGAATGGTGGCGATCTCGCTAGTCTTATTGAGATTCCAAGTTGGAGAGCGTTTCAGTGACATTAAATTAGGCGGGAACGCTGGATTTTTACTTGTTGCGGAATTCATACGACCGGAAGGGATCGACGTCGATGATTGTAGTGAAATGTGAATTGTGTTCATGATTGTTTCGCAACGCGTTGTACCCAGAGTGGACATTTAGACCAATAAACTAGAAGTAATTGCAGTACAAAATGTTGAACCAAGTGAGGTATCGGAGTACGGTGCAACTGGAATACAGTACAAATTAATGTTAAGTGTAGCTAAAAACTATTGCAGGGGTTATTACAACGGATTTTTAGAAATAGTTTCCTTTTTTTCACTCGGGTACAATGCTCTTTCACCGCACGGTACAGTCGCACTGATTAATTCCAGTATTTTGTTGGCATTTAAATTTAAGTGAGAAATTAGTTCCTATATTCTTCCAATGCACAGTTTCGATACTCTGTAATAGCGTTAATGTTGAAGAGTTTCGAGCATTAAAGAAGGAAAAATATATTTTTATTTAATCAACTGGAAATGAAAATGAAAAAATATATTTGTATTTTCATATCATAACACTATGAACTGCAATAAACTCTGAGACCGTTTCCTTAAACTTTAAACTCGTAATTGGTTTTACGAATTAGTTTATTCAAAAATAATGTTTATTTGACAGTTATGTAAAATAAAATAGATTAAAAATAAATAATATCTTGTTTTTACATGTATTAAGTTATAAAAATATTGAGAATTTAATGTTAAATCGTTGAAACTATAGTGTTGTTTTACACGAAATTGTGACTTCATTTTGTATAAAATCAGTCACATGAGCATTGATTATACTTATGTACTAGATTTTAATACGTGGAATTAATTTACTGTGTGATTTTTATACGTGACTTGTTGATATATAATATATAAATTAAGAGAGATTTATCGATAATTTCACTCATAAAGTCACACATTCATTTGTATAATTTCCTAGTCATCCAATTAATTTAGTATTTATTGTGCAAAGTTCAAACACAAACACACCAAAAGTTCCTTTAAGTCTGAACTAAAACATTCCAATTTTTTTTACGTGTAAATATTTTTGTGATTCTAATCATCTAGTCTTGCAGTGTATATTTAGTTTTAGTAGATTTTTTTTTATTTTACGTGCGACTGTATGTTTATTGGTAATAATTTATCAATTTAAAATACAAAGCTGTGTTATTTCTAGTCCAATTCTTTTGCTGATTTTTCAGACATGGACGTCGTTGAATCGTTAAAAGTTAATGACAATGCAAAGTTACACCCATCTACCTCAACATAATATTAGAGAAATATTTTCTGTCGTATTTTTACAAATGTACCTCGGCATTCGACGTCCACGTTTGGTAAAATGATATATTTAAAAAATGTAAAGAGAATTATATTTTGGCTATGGGAGTGAGCCAAACCTTATGCCGCAAGCCTGATTACGCTTTTACATATTTGACCTAATTTTCATTTCACTTCAAAATCTTTTTTCTGCCTAAATTTGACATTGTGATTTAAACTATAACATAAACTTACTATAAAAAATAAAAATTATTTTTAATAGTAAGTTTATACGGACATTTTCGTTTTTAAGCCGACTCCGAATAAGAGGATATATATCATAGTTGACTGTAATTTTTATTGTATCATACGCAGTATCTTCAAAATTAACTTCGCTATATTTTTATCAAAAGAGTATGCTTTTAATGGATCTAGCATATTAATTTAAAATCAATTCGATAATAATTTTAATTCAATTCATACATATTTTGATTAAACATTTTTAAATAAAAGATTATTATAAAATATTTATTATTATTAAATATCACGATAGGTGACACTACGTTCGGCATCTGGAATTGGGAATCCTAATTTATTTCTGTAAATTTCTTGTATAAATGTAAAACTGCTTTAAAAATTGAAACTTTTAAACATCATATTTAACCTTTCGTAGGTCTGATTTCTAGATTTTAGTAGGATCATTTTCTAAGCCAGTATACAGGCGGCGGGCGAGATGGCACAGTTTAAAAATCTAAATTATACGATTAGAGAAATTTTCTTCAAAAAGGATTCTTGGCATCGCTTTTGCATAAAATGAATGCATTCAAAGATTTTGGACAAATTTGTGACAAAGCGACTGAGATAGTGAGCCTTTCGCTCTGAAGAAATCTGTTTGTTTCGCAAGCCTATTATAGAATGGATAGTTGCCATATATTTTTATTCTTGTTTCAACTCCTTCTGTCCTCTGTAATGACATGGAATGAGGGGTTAGTAAATATTTATATGACGTCACTACACGATACAACGACAGCTGTGGCAAGTAAGTTAATCTTTCGTAACTGTGTCATCGCCGCTGCGACAAAAGCATTGGCAAATTTAAAAAAAAAAAACATTTTTTTAATTTTGAAATCGGAACAATATATTTAAGACCTTCCTTCTGATTATATTTTCAAGTATTATTTTTTAATTTAACATTTTACAGAATTGCAAGCCAGTCGTGTTGTTACTAGAGGAGAGACTGGCTGGTATATTTAGCTAATGTGTGTAATCTGTGCTTGCGGCCGGTGAATGTTCCTAGATCCGTCTGTTATTTGTTTTCCATTAATTACTTACGAAGCATTTCTACCGTATTCAATAAATTAAATATACAAATATGTTGTTTTGTTTTCCTTGTATTATCCTGTTCTGCATAGGGTAGGTACCTCTGTGTTCCGATCTGAAGCACATAGAAAACAAATATAATTAAAGCGACAGTAGCCTAATGGCAGGGCGCGGACTGCGAACTCAAAAAGGTCGTGGGTTCGAAACCGCCATTCGACTACTGGCGTGAACCACTCGTAACACAAGCAATTTAAGCTTACCACGAGTGGTTAAAGGGAATATTAGTAATGTTTATAGCATTGTTAATATTCTTTTTTAAATATAAAAAAAAATTATAGGCATTCCATCTTATTCCTCAGGAGTGTTCTTTGTACGAAGTTGGCTCCAGTTGCCCATGGACCGCAGAAGGCATTTACCACCAGGATGGTAAGTTCATTGTAACTTGACACAATTTTATTGTGAATTAGCCAATTTACCTACAATTATACCTAAATAAAGGATTTATGGTTCAAACTGGTATGCTAGTTATGGTGAGGGATTAGAAAATGGAAAAAAGCTTAAAACTATTCCCATAATGACGTGAACGCTCTCAGAAGTTGCCGTATGATATAAAATATAAATAATAGTATACAGTATAGTACGGTAATATGGTCATCCAGTTAATATGGTCACTTTCTTAAAACTCAAAAACTACAGCCTTGTTTGCATAGATGGCTCTGTGATACGATAGCTCTTCATCAGTCAATCAAATATTAAAGATTCAAAAAGGCGGTGCTTCACTGAAGTAATTTTAACAGTTGACATTATAGTAAATATTTTATAAAATATAAATATTTCATAAATAGTCAATAGTGTAGTGTCGTTAGTTTTTTTTTTAAGTTGATTATTAATAAAGAATGGTTATTTTTATAAAGTAATTTATACGTGGTAGAGCCATGGTGCAGCTATATGCTTGTGGCAAGAATGGGTCTACTCGACCGGGGAAGGAACACGCTCTCACATATTATCATCAGGTGAACTGTGTGTTCGTTTGTTACCCTTATTCTATATTAAAAAAAGTTACAGCCTATATACGTCCCACCGCTGGGCACAGGCCTTCCGCTCATTTCTGTGAGGGTTTAGGACATGGAATTATCCGCCACGCTACCCCAATGCGTATTAGCGAACTTCACATGTCTTCGAAATATTTCTCAGACATCTAAGGTTT